CATATTATTGAGATCTCATGGGTACAACTTCTCAGATAGAAAGATCGTTTATAAATTGATTTATCTGGGACTCAGAAGGCCTTCCCCCCACACGTAGAAACTGGGATTGTCTAATGATGCTTTTTGTTATTTAAATAATTTATTTAGATTCATTATATGTGCGTTGGTGTGAAGGTGTCAGAACCCCTGGAACTGGAGTGACAGACAGTTGTGAGTAGCCATGTGGTGCTGGGACTTGAATTCAGGTCCTCCAGAAGAGCAGTCAGTGCTCTTAACCACCGAGCCATCTCTCCAGTCCTCTAATGAGAGATCTAAACAACAGTGTCCTCGGTTATAATTATGCATTTAAAAACATCCCAGTGTGCTGAAACACCCATGGACTTTAGGTGTTGAGGGCAGTGACTTATACAGTCAGCAAAGGGAACTCCTCCTTGTTCTGAACACTCCCGGAGTCTAGTTTAAATCAACTCCTCTTGGACAAGTGACCTGACAGTCTGGCTTCCCCACCCACACCCCTCACCCCAACCAGTAAGGACTCTGTCAGATTTGGTATGTCTTTGAATACATGAGTCAAATCCCACCATAGAATTCAAAGTCCTGGAGTCCTCACTTCATTTAGTTCCCTCTCCGACAGTGATTCTCGACCTTCCTGATGATGAGACCCTTTAATACAGTTCCTCACGAAGTGTTGACCCCCAACCACAAAATTATTCTTGTTATTACTTCATAACTGTAATTTTGCTACTGATATGGACAGCAATGTAAATATTTTTTAGAGCTAGAGGTCTGTCAAAGGGGTCGAGACCCTCAGGTTGAGAAACACCGCTCTGCAACCATGATAGGACTCTGGGGGTCACAGAAACAGATTCCGAGTTCAGCTACTCAGCTGGGCATGGTGTCGCATGCTTTTAATCCCAGCACTTGGAAAGCAGGGGTAGGTGGATCTCTGTGAGTTCAAAGTCAGACTGGTCTACAAAGCAAGTTTCAGGACGTCCAGGACTGCTACACAGAGACACCCTGTCTTGAAAAATGAAAACAAAAACAAAAACAAAAACAAAAAACCAAAACCAAACAAACAAACAAAAACCCCAAAAAGCAGAGTTCAGCTACTCACTAGAAACTGGTGTGCATTTCCTAGTCCATCACCCCCGTTGCTACACGGAGGAAACACTAAGCAGAGAAAAGACATGTGAGGCCAGGCTTAGCAGGAGAGAACCACCCTCCAAACTCCTACATTCAAACTCTGCTTGAGGGACAGTAATATTTGTTTCTGGAATAGTCCCCTCCTGAGTGAAATAGTACTCATCATGACCTTCAAATGAGGACTTTCTATTAGAGCCTCCATCTTGCATTTGAGGAAACTGAGGCACACAGACAGCTTAAGCTGGCTGCTCAAAGAGGTACCATAAGCTAGAAATAAGAGCTGAGCTTTGCACAAGAAAGGACAGCTCCCAAGCCTGTGGGTCACCTGTCCCTGCTGTGGCAGTGGTCACACGGGGCTTTAGGCAGCGAGAAGTGTTGAGTGACAGGTGACAAATAGACAGGGTAAGGGGTGGTTATCAGGGATCAGGCGTAGGCAGGCTGCTTCAGAGAGATGATGTGCAGGTGAGGCTTGCAAGAATGAAGAAGCAAGATTTCCAAGAATGGTCACTGGGGCCTTGGCAGTCAACCTGGGGATGCTCTGTAATTTGGGCTGAGTCTCTGGGCTGGGAGCAAGCAGAAAGACCTTGCAGTCACTGGTCAGCTAGCCTGATGCACGCTCCAACTCAGGAGCCCATTCAGAGGACATTTGGAGACTTGTCAGCCCCTGGATAACATCCACTGTGATGGAATTTTCCCAGAAGGGGTGCAAAACCCTAAAGCTGAAGAACCTGGGCTAGTCTGAAGACCTGAGCGATTACAGACAGTGAAGGATGGAGAAGAGGGTGGGGCCATGTCCTACCATCATTTCACATTTTTGTTGAGTGGCACAGCATGGCGTGGCGTGGCTCCAGCAGGGAAGTGACAGCGGCATGCTCTGAGTAATGTAAAGATCCCTGGAGTTGCAGGCAAACTGCTTCTGCTGTCCCTGGGCTTCCTGACCAAGTACTGCCAGAACCCTACCTCCATCCCATACCCCATCTTATACCCTCATAGCATACCCCATCCACCTCAGAGTCCATCTCATACCCCATCTTATACCCTCATCCCATACCCCATCCACCTCATACTCCATCTCATACCCCAACCCATACCCCATCCCATACCCCTATCCCATAACCCATCCATCTCATACTCCCATCCCATACCCCATTTCATACCCAATCCCATACCTCCATTCCATATCCCTATTCCATACCCTGTCCCATACCCCTATCCCATACCCCTATCCCATACACTCATCCCATACACTCATCCCATATCCCAGCCCATACCCCAGCCCATACCCCCATCCCAATCACACCCATATGTCTCCCTTAGGAAGAGAGGGCAGTAAGTTGAAGGTTGAGCCCTTTCACTGTGGGGTAGTTTTAACTGTTTGGTAACTGTGAGTCTGGGATTATTTTATTGTTTCTACCACTTGTCCATGAACTTTTGTGATCTCGTGCCTTAGTGAGAATGTAGACAAACACCTATTAAAATTCTGGTTTCTTGGTAAATACTGGTGCATTCAACTGGATTTTGTGCCTGCAGATGGAATCTAAATTGTGTGCTCTTCATGCATTTCAAATCGCCCAAGGGAACAATGGAGGCCATGACAAAATGAGAAAACAATTAACTATGGCAGGAAAGGGGGCCCTTCACAGCGCAGTCTCCACGCACTATTTTAATTGCAAGAGGATAAATGTGGGGTTCCATCGCCGTGAAGACAGCCAGTGAGGTGACTTTCCTCTTTTGTTTTTTTGAACTTTGGAACAATGAAATGGCCCCAAATGTTTACATGACCGTTGGAATTGTTCCCCATGTGAACTATGCCATCCTGTCAACACATTGTGATGGGGACATCTATCAAACATCAGCATGGAGGCAGCGGAGATGTCAAGGCAAAAGTTCCCAAGAGTCTCATCAGCATCCAATCAAGCCAGGAAGAAATTCCAGTACTTGGGAGGTAGAGGCAGGAGCATCAGAAGGTCAAGGCTGGACTGGACTGTATGAGTCCTTGTTTCAAAAAAATAAAATAAAAGAGTAAAACGAAAGAGCATGGCGACCATGCTCCTCTTGAGCACCTGTGGCTGTGATCACATTTACACCCTAGGATTGGGGTGGTCAAGATGGCTCAGTGAGTAAAGGGGCTTGCTGCCAAGCCTGACAGCCTGAGTTCTATCCCCGAGACCCACGTGTGAAAAGAGAATTGATCCTGAAAGGCTTCCTTTGACCTCTATGTGGATATACCGCCCCCACCCCACCCTTTCACACACACACAGAAAGAGAGAGGTGGGGGAGGTACAGGAAGATAGGGAGGGAAGGAGGGAAGAAGGGAGAAAAAAATAACCATAATTTTTGGGGAGAGGGGTTGGTTTTTTGTTTTCTGTGTTATGTTTCTTTCTTTTTGTTTGTTTGTTTGTTTTCTTAGTTTTTGTTTTTTTGGCAGGGTCTAACCCAGCCTGGCCTGAATCTCACTCTGTAGCCTTGGCTGGCCTCAAACTCTTACCTTACCCTCCGGAGTGCTGGGGTTACAGGCTTAAGCTGCTGTATTTAGTGAGACCTGGCCTTTTATTCAATAATCAGTCAGGTCGGTCATCAGAGTCCTTGAGAAGTTCTGAGGCTGTGGAAATTGCTGAGATTATAAGTACTGGCGGGTTACCATGTCTAGTTCATGCCATTTCCTTTTTTTTTTAAACAACGGGAGAGAGAGAGAGAGAGAGAGAGAGAGAGAGAGAGAGAGAGAGAGAGAGCAACTGGCCAAAGTTGGTTCTCTTTTCCCACCACGTGGGTTCCAGGCCTGGTGGCAGGTGCCTTTGCCCACTGAGCTGTCCCTCTGGTCCCTCTACACTTTGTGCAGTTTCTCTAGAGTTCACTTCCAGAAACAGGCGAGCTTGAAGAGTTGTTTGGGATATTCCAGGCCCTGGGCTGTCATTATCTCCTTTAAAGTTCCTGAAAACAAATGTTTACCTCCACTCTCTCCTTACTTAAGTCCCCACAACCATGCGGCACCAAAACAGAAGACCCCCTTAGCTCTCTGCATTGCTGACTCCTGAACCAGACTCCAGACTCCTGTTTCGTGTTTTTTCCCTAATTCCTCCCTGCTCAGTAGGGACCTGAGATTGCTCAGCAGCCAGGGCTCATTAACTCATTCTCCTTGGCAGTCAGTTCCTGGGGACAAAGGACTCCTGTTTACTCTGGCAGCAGAGAGGCTTCACCTGATTGATGGCCTGGCGCTTCCCTGCAGCCATGTGCACGTGGGTAGCAGAGACATATGCCCCTGCCTCATATCCAGCCCTGAGGCAGAGCTGGAGGGAACTCTGTCGGACTTTGATTGATGAGTGTATGGTGTCAATGAAAAAAATCAAGGGTGGTCACCGTCTTCATGACCTGAGAGAGGCATAGGTACTTTATGATGGGTGATTGGTCCTAGGGAAGGAAAGGTGAACCCTTAAAGGGCCCGGTCCCTGGAGAAGTCATCAGAAAACAGGAAGACCGAGGTAGAATGGGCCCTGGAGTTGGTCCTTACATTTCTGTTCTGTTCCAGTTCACTGGTACTAGGTCCACAGCAGTAGAGGATGGTACTACTGACCCTTTGTAACCTCAGTCCCTCATCTCTAAAATGAGGGTGATGGTACAGTCTTCTCAGGACTAGAAGGGTAAAAAGAGAAACAAATAGCCCAGAGTCTGTAGACAGACTCAAGATAAACCAGGAAACCACGTGTTCCTTTAGAACTGACTACACAGGAAGGAAACTCTAATACATCCACTGTCACCCTGGGTAGCTCTGACCGGGACACACTTAGGTGTCAGGATCTCTGGATGACTGGACAGATGCCCATTCTGATCGAGCCTTGGCTGTGTTGCGACTCGACTCTTCCAGGGCCATGTTTTTCCTTCAGGAGGTCCTTTGGCCTTCCAGGTTTGTAGAAACTTGTGCCACATGAAGTAGAGACAGAATGGACATTTTAGGGCTGGGCTGGTGGAGTGGCTGAGGCTGGTGTCGGAATCTCATGCCAAAGCAGAGGGAGCTACACCCTGGGTATGCCAGGGAGGGTGGCCACAGAACGGGAGTCTCCCGCTTCCCACAACAAAACGCCTATTAATTATGCTTGGGGCTGGGACACGGAAGGACTCGGGAAAGACACTCTCAACGTTTTGAGGGTGAGGCAGTACCGTGATTAGAGAGTCCAGGCAGGGAGGGCAGCCACATACTGCCAGCTCTGACACACAGAATCTGTTGACCAGCTTCTAGTCTCTCTGTGCTGAGGCTGTCCTGTGTCCCCACAAAAAGACAGGAGTGTCCAGAATAAAAGGAGGGTGTGGGAGATGGACCACCAGGAAGATAACACTGGGGAGGATTTGGCCACGGATTCTGAAAAAGAGCAGCAAAGGGATCACGGGGGAAATGCAGGGATGCGCGGAGAATCTACTACTTCTTGGCAGGAAATCTACAAGGTTGATTGACTGACAGGAACATCAGTGACTGTGGAGAGGTCGGAATGTTGCAAGTCCAGAGCCCAGTTCTAGTTTATCTTGGGCTGTCTGTTCTTAGTCCCCTTACCAGCCATTTCCATCACACCCCTTGACTTAGCATCCTTGTTACTACCACATGAAACATTTGGGGATAACTTCATAGACCCTCCAGCTTCTACCAACCCAAAACTAAGAATTTCATCATGTGGTACCCGAGGCCTATGGCAGAGGTCTCCCCAACTTTTCTGGATCCTGCCTATGTAGTGTACCCATAAATATCTTTGAACAGCGACTTCATTGTGACTTTGTTCTATCTCTATAAAAGCTATACCAACTGTTACCACATTAGAACACAGATTTTAGGGTAACCTGAACCTGTGTTCCTGAGCCATGGTCACCCATATTTGGCTCCTGCAGAAACTATCTCTTGTCCCCTTTGAATCAAGAGCTTTTGATTTCTGTCTTATATGCTGAGACCCAAACAAACCTCCTTTCTTCACTCATGACTCAGCCTTGGCGACTGCATTAAAGCAATGGGAAATGAACCAATGCATCCCCCTCAGTTGCTTTTGGTCATGGTGTTAACCACAGCAAATAAAACCTAACCAAGACAATGGCAGACTCTTGTAATCCCAGCACTGGGGAGACAGAGGTGGTGGATCCCCGGAGCTCACTGGCCAGTCAGTTTAGGCATGGTGGTCTGAATGAGAATGGCCCCCAAAAGCTCATATACTTGAATGTCTGTTCTGAAGTTGGTGGAACTGTTTGGGAAGGATCAGAAGGTGTGGCCTTGATGGAGGAGGTGTTTCACTGGGGGTGGACTTTGAGGTTTAAAAAGTCACACCATTCCCAGTTCTCTCTCTCTCCCTCTCTCTCTGCCTCTTACTTGTGGATCAGATGTAAACTTTCGGCTACTATTCCAGTGTCATCCCTATCGTGGTCCCTGAGATGTCATGTTCCAGCATCCAGTAGAGGAATTCTATTGTAATCATGTTTTTCACAGTTTAAATTTAGACAGCTACATGGTGTATCAGTTTCCTTAAAAAATTATTTTTATTATTTGTGTGCATTTGTGTGTAGAGTATGTGTGTCTGCACATACACGTGTGTACATGCATATGTATATGCAAGTGCAAGGGCCTGTGGAGGTCAGATGCATCATAGTCATTACAGATCAAGTACAGGCAGTTGTGAGCTGCCTGACATGGGTTCTGGGGATTGAACTTTGGTCCTCTGCAACAGCAGAGTTGAGTGCCCTTAACCTCTGAGTCATCTCTTAAGACCTTTATAGATTTTATTTTAAAAAAGGGAAGTGTATTGAAAATGTATGTAACTTAGCTGACAATATGCTTGCCTAACGTTAACAAAGCCTTGGGTTTGATTCCGATGCCACATAAAACAGACATGGTTGCCATAGACCTCTAAGCCCCATACTTGGAAAGTGGAGGCATAAGGAACAGATGTCCAAGATCACCTCTGGATGACGAGGGAGGGAGAGAGGAATGGATGGAAGTGGTGGGGGGCTCACACCTGGTAAATTTCTCTAACCTCCAAACTCCTGGATCCTCCGAGTCTTTGCTGCTGGTGTCATGTTGACATAAATACATTTTTCCAGACAGTTAACTTATTCTAATGAGGAACACAGGGAAGTCAGAGACAACCCAAGACAACAAGAGCCCACACAGTTCTTCCTGCTAACAGTGTGCTGCACCCACCTGTCAATCACACAGGACAGCTGCCGTTGTTAGGATAAATTCATGAAGAGATTGACATCTTTGAAATATGCAGAGGCAAGTAAAATACGAAGTAGCTCTGTTCATCCCGGAGCGCCTTAGGCCGACAATGTCATAGGACGAAAGAGGGGGCACCTGCAAGATAAAGCCTCTGCTTTCTTCTTCTCAAGAAAAACCACAACAGGCCATATATGGTGGTGCACACTTGTAATCTTAACGCTTGGGAGGTGGGGGCAGGAGGATTAGCAGGGCTGTGTTATCTTTATCTGCTACGTAAGTGACTCTGAGGCCAGCCTGGGCTACATAAGACTATGTGAAAAGAAATGGCAGGAGGTAACTATTACTTCTTACATGATTCCTTCTGGGCCCAGGAGTTGACATCAGTGCTCCTCAGTTGTCTTTTTATTCTCTTGTAGTTGTTAAGTTTGGACTGAGCCAGATGAATTAGAAGTTATATATTTTATGTCATAAAATATAGAAACATGGCAACTGCCACACTAGCATCCAGGGTCAACTGCCTCCTGGATGGCAGGCTCAGGGTTGAGTCTGAAGAGTTCAGGAGGCAAAGGCCAAGGGGCCGATCCCTGTGTGTCTGAGAGCAAGAGAGTGACCTTGGAGGGGCCTGGTGGGAAAATGGCACCAAAGCAAGAGGTTTGAGACCTCTGCTCATTTGCCTTCTTCCTGGTTCCTGGATCTGTCTTTCACCACATTCTCCATCGCTCTCCATCCCTGCTTTCATCTGGAACAATCTGTCCTTCTTTCACTCAGCTGCCCCTGAGCCTATGTGGACAGGACACATCCCTGCCCTGCACACAGTGTCGGGGACAGGGGCTTTGGAGTCAATCTCTCCCACTGACTGTTCCAGATGGTTAAAGATCCAGAAAAATCTATCTTCAAATTCCAGAAAAGAATCCCATGGAGAACTTGGGTGCAGTGGTACTAAAAATCATGACATTCATTACCATAAACTCAAAGTCTTTTTCAGCAAAGACTTTGATTCTCGTGAGACATGTTTTGAGTTCAGCTATATCTTATGTAGGTATAATTGTGTTCCTCTTAACCACTGAGACATCTCCCCAGCCCCAATTTTATTGTTCTTTCTATGATATTTTAGGTGGTCAGTTGGGTGCATATTAAAAATATGTGTTATAACTAATGTTTAAATGTATCCACATAAACACAAATATATGTTATGTATTCTGCCATTCTTTCTAATTCTCATAGTTGAGTTTGTTCCACTCCATCACAGTCGTGTCAGAAGCTAATTTCTACTTCCCTTCTGGAATCACACCTTACTGGATTGGCTGGGATGTTGTTCCTGTTTTGTTTAGCTGAGACAGGTCTCTCTGTATAGCTCTGGCTGTCCTGGAACTTGCTCAGTAGATCAGTCTGTCCTTGAACTCATGGAAATCCACCTACCACTGCCTCCCGAGTGCTGGGATTAAAGGTGTGTGCCACCATCACCGGCTGTAACTTTTAGAGAAGTATTGGAAAACAGCAGTGGTATTGATACAGGGGAGAAGCAGGACAGAGAAGTGAAACAATGAAGGAAACATTTTCTGCACTGGGATTCTAGACGGTCACCGAAACTGAGGGTAAAAGAGCATCAGTTACAACAGAACCTGCTGCCAGACTGATGCGGAAAATCTGATTTTAGACTTTGTGAATAAAGTTTCCAGTTTTTAAAAACATCAGGAGATGCTGGGTGCTCCGAAGAAGTGCAGAATAGGAAGCAGGACAGGCTCAGAATGTTGGAGGCACTGGAGGGCCATCCCCAGCAAAAGCTGAAGACTTGAGCAGAGGTAAGGTGGCAGGATGAGGTCAGCACTCTCCTTCAGCAGGTAAAGCACAGAGCCAGCGACCCAGGAAGTCTCATGACCACCCCAACACCAACACACACACACCTGCCCAAAGCTGGTCAGCATGTACACTGGCAAGGAGAGTTTAGTTGGACTTGCTTTCTATAACATCCTTTGTTGGGTGAGCTAGCACTGTCCGTATTTCCTGAAGACTTGGTGTGACTCATAACTTGCTTTCTAATAAATCTTCCAAGACCCAGTTGAGTCCCAGGCTGCTCTTTTATATGTTAGCTGCAGTGGTTGTCATTGCCAAACTAACTAGGAGACACACGCGTGTGCACACACAGATAGAGACAGAGACAGAGAGACTCCGATCATATGGAAAGAAGATTGCAATGAGATGACCAATGTTGGAACAAATTGTGAGCGCATTCAAAGAGGAGAGGGCAAGAGGAGGCTTTCTTAAGTCAACACAAGAAGGATCACATGGATCGTTTGAAATAATCCTTGCCTACAAGATTCAGTAAAAGGCTGGCATTAGTCCAAGGTTAATAGACAGTTGTTGGTTGTATGCCCTTGCGGAAGTATTTCTGTGTAAGGTAGCCTTTGTATAAGACTGTAGTGCTGACATACTTTGTTATCCAACACGAGGGTGAGATCATCTCCAGAACTTCCTGTATTGATTGATTGATGGCTAGAGTTTGACGCATGCCACTCCATTTTGATTCTATAATGCTTATGTTGTCTTTAGGCAATTTGGTCAAATACTACACGCAAACACGAAATGAAGCTCTTGTTTTTATAAAAACTGAAAGGAATCCACAAGAAAAAGTCATAAGAATGAGTGTGCAAAACAATTATTTTTATACTTATAAAAGGGGCAGAGACTATACAGACTTAAGGTGTCATGCACTATGACTTTGGGATTCAAAGTTATTGCTCCATTAGAAATCACACACACACACACACACACACACACACACACACACACATGCATACACAAGGTAATACACAGTATGTCATTTTCCTGTTGCTGTGATAAGACATGACCAGAAGCAACTTAGGGAAGGAAGGGTTTACTCTGACCTATGGTTTCAGAAGGGTGGGGTCTGTCCTGTCAGAAAGGCATGGTGATGGGCAGGCATGCTGAACATGGAACAGGGAGCTGAGAGCTCACATTCTCAAATGCAAACATGAAGTAGAGAGAGTGAACTGGAAATGGTGAGAAGATTTTAACTTTCAAAGCCAGTTCCAAGGGATGTACCTCTTCCAGCAAGGTCACACCCCCTAACCTCCCAAAACAGTGCCACCAACTGGGCATGAAATATCTGAGCCTGTGGGAGACATTCTTATTCAAGCGCTAAGGTAAAAAACTCCATTAAACTCTTTAAATGAACAGCACACACACTTGGCTTATAAAATATGGCTTCTTCATCATCCTTAGCTGTGTTCTACCTGTTCCCCCTCCCTAAAAATCATTCTTCACACCAATGGTCCCCTTTTAGTTTCCTGAATTCTGTAGGCATTTCATATTCCGCACACTAATCCAAACATTTGACTCTAGGACCCACCGGCCCCAGAGGTGAACTTACGACTCTGCCTACAGAAGCTCTCAGACTTCGCCAGAGAAGTTTCTTTTGTGCCATAGACTGTGGTTAACACAGAAACCCATACCTGATCAAAGTACGGAGAATAAGTACAGTGGGGTGCTTACCTAGAAACAGAACACCTGTATCATCCCGCACCATCCCGCACCGAAGGCTCAAGGATCTCTGTGGAAGAGAGGGGCAGAAGGATTTTAAGAGCCAAAGGTTGGAGATATCCATAGCCCAACAGTGCCTTCTGCGTATGACATGACCACTGACTGAACGTGGGAACTTGCTGCAGCTGTAGTTGTCTACACAAGACCTGCCCAAGACAAGCCAGGCAACATTCCACCATGGAGAGGAAAGGGGTTCATGAACACCCCTACTCCCAACTAAGGTGCTATTGTCAGTTAATGGCTCTGGGGGAGGGAGAATCACATCTTTTAAGGTCGTGGCTCCTTCTAGGTTAGACACACTCCATCCAATGGCCCTACGCTCTGGAGTATATGCGCAGCACGTTCGGGACTCTGTGGACTATTGAAAAAAAATCAATAGGGCAAGATGCTAGGGTGCCTGGAGCTGGGAGTAAATCTTGGAATAGTTCAGAGGAGCTGAAGGTGAAAACAATTCAAGTACATCATATAAAATTCTCAGAGTTAATAAAAATATCTATTAAAAATCGGTAAAAAAATGAATGCAACTTAAACCCTGTTTTAAAACACATGCAAGAAGGTTATGATTGTCGTGAACCAGTACTGTGTATAAATGCTGACATCAGAGGCCTGGGTTAGAATTCTAGTTTTCATAAGGGAAGTTATTTAACGCAGCTATGCCTGATTCCTGTCAATAAATGCAAATAAAATAGCACTTACCTGATCAGAAAAAAAGAAATCCTGAAGAGGGAGGCTTGCAAGGCTAATGGACAGATTGTCACTGAAGAGACCAGAAAGAAAAGAACTTTGGAGCTTTTGTCTTTGTGTTACTTTTAATCTATTTTACATACTTTGTGTCTTTGCACACTTTGCATACTTTGTATCTTTTAGAATTTTTCATCCACTTTAAAAGGCCTGTGTCTTTGTATCCTTTGTGTTTTTGTGTCTTTTAGACCTAGTAAAGGTCTAGGTATCTGTGGTTGCTTTTTTATTGTTGCTTTGTTCTGTTTTCTTGTCTGTTCTTTGTTTTGTTTTTTAGAAAAGATTTCAGTATCTAACTCTGCTTGTCCTGAAACTCTCTATAGACCAGGCTGACCTCAAACTTATAGAGATCAGCCTGTCTCTACCTCCCAAATTCTGGGGTTAAAGGGGTACACCACCATGCCTGGCTTATCCATGGTTGCTTTCCTTCCTTCCCTTCCTTTCTTCCTTCGTTTTGTTTTCTTCAAGACAGGGTTTTTCAACCCTGGCTGTCCTGGAACTTGCCTTGTAGACCAAGCTGGCTTGAACTCACTAAGATGACCCTGCCTCAGCTTCCCAAGAGCTGGAACTAAAGGCCTGTGCCACCACCACCTGACTATCTGTAGCTTCTTAATAAACTTTGGGTGTGGGGTGCTGGAGTTTGAACTCGGGGCTTTTGCATGCAACACAAGCACTCTACTATTGTGGTCTGCCCCAGCCTTTCCACAGGCTTCACATGTCTCTGCGTGTCCATTGTTTCTAGTGCCATCAGGCAAAGAAACTTTCCACATTCTGAAAAAAAAAAGAAAGAAAGAAAAGAAAGAAAGAGGCACAACTGCTATTTTCTGCCTTCAAAGCTATGTTCTTCTATTAAGACGTAGTCATAATAGGTGGCATTATAAACCTAACTTAAGATGACCAGTGCTGTTGGGGTAAATATTTATATTTGTTCTAGAATGTGACATGGCTTGGTGACTGGACTCTGTTCTTAGAAAATCTTGCTAAGATGGCTTTCTGAGTTTGAGTTAACCTGATCTATGTAGTTCCAGGCTAGCCAGTAATATACAGTCAGAACTTGTAAAAATAAATAAATAAAACAAACAAAACCACACCAAAATAAACAAAGCTTCCAAACTAAAATAACTAAAATAACTTGAAATTTCTGTCAAGGCTATAAGGGTGATCTTTTACTCTCTCACTTTCCTGAGTGCCAAGGACCTGTTTAAGGATGATGGCCCAGCCCGTGGGAGGAATTCAGAGTGTTGTGAGATACGTGGAGTGGGTCAGGGCACACAAACACACATACACAACACAGCCCTAGAAAAGGCACTAACAGAGACAAACACTCAGCTTACCACACCAAATCATAACCCCCACACTGCCCTTCTGTCACCAGGAGAGCAGTTGGAAAGACTGGTCAGGATTGTCCCATCGCTGCTTTCCCAAGCAGTGTCCCACAGAAAGGACCCTGTGCATCCAGCCTGCAGCCAGAGCAGATTTCATTGTTGGCAATGCACCTGCAAAGGCCACCAGCCCAAGCACATGTGTGAAGCACGATTAGTAAAAACTCAGACTGAAATTGGGGTTCAACCTGAAGATCTGGAAAGCAAAGCAGCCAGCCACCGACTCTTACCTCAACCTCAGTCCAAAATGGTGATCCTGCCTCCTGGAATCTTAGAACGACATTGTGTCCGAGAGCTGTTTCCTCCCATTTTATAATCCTCTCTAGTTCTGGAATTAAAAGTGTGCACCACTGATATTAAAGGAATACACTGCCCTGTTTCTATGGTAACTAGTATGGTTACTGGGATTAAAGGTGTGTGTTACCATTGCCTGACTGTAAGTCTGACCAGTGTGACTGTTTTACTCTCTTGATCAAAAGGCAAGCTTTATTTATTAAAATACAATAGAAATGCCACTATATTTCTCCCTTTTGACTAAAAGGCTATAATTGGTAAGAAAAACTATATATAAGTACAATAACTATATACAATATATACAGGCAATAAATACCTCAACAATGCCTAGCCATTTGCATATGACAAATTCAGAGAAAATGCTCCATATTTATTCTATCTTGGTGAATCCAGAGCCTTGTACCTAATTTACTTTCTATCATAACTTGCATTACCATTCAAAACTATCTTTTGATATCTTTCAACCTTATCTACGTTATATTTCTTTATGTTTATGAAAGTCTCATAAACAAAGGAGATAACTATAACTATCTAGTCTTCAACTACCTCAGAGACCCCCAAAAGGAAATAATATTGATTAAGCAGGAAGTGCAAGCAAGCGACTTCCAAAACATGTAATGGCAGAAACAGCTGGCTGCCTGGACAGTCACCCAAACTTCCTCTGCAACACTGAGGTATCCATCTTTGGCCTACAGGCCTAGCATATCCAACTGAGCTTTCTGTGAAGCAAGACATTCTGAAGGGCTGTCCCTCCTTATCTTGACAATATTTGGCAGTCACTTTCTTTTGTGTCCTGCTTGTCCAATTAAGACAACATACTGCCATTCATCGAGACAGGGGCATTTTCTTGTCCAGTAGCTTACTTTGCCACAAAGAAAGTCAAACTCCATGTGGAGTTTCTTTGATGCTCGTTATCTTCTCTGACATAGATTGGTGCTGCCAGGAGCAGACATGTCTCACTGTCATTGAGAGAGAGGGAGAGAGAGAGAGAGGGAGAGAGAGAAAGAAGAGAGGGAGAGAGAGAGGAGAGAAAGAGAGAGAGAGAGAGAGAGAGAGAGAGAGAGAGAGAAAGCAGAAGGAATTCTTGGGAGACACGAGGAGGTGAGCTAGGTGACTTGAACCACCAAGTACTGCAGCCATGGTAACCATGCTGAGTAAATTGAAGAGTACTGATACAAAGGTAACAGCTGATGTCACTAGTGTTGTCATGGGAAACCTTGTTGCTAGGGAACTTGATGTTGGCTAACACATTGCCATTGGTGACTGTGGGCTGGCATGGATTAACAGCACAAAGAAGTCAACAAAACTGGAAGTGGCTGTTTTGTCTTTGATAAAAAGATGACTGACAAATGTCAAAAATTTGAAAAGGATCAAATCATCAATTTTTTTAAAGCTAGGAGTACTGCAGGTCACCCAGCTATGGCGCCCTCTACTTCTTACTGTCCAGCATCCCTTGAAGAGTCAAGTCAAGGGATTACTTGGCATTTTGTACAGAACCAGTTTTTGCCAGTTTAGCCAATGTTCTTGGTAACTTGGAAAATCTACCCTCTTCAATATTTCCAGACATTAAGGATTATACACTTTATGATGTAGAAACTAAGTCTGGTTTGTTTAGGATTGTAAGGATTGTCATTTTTGAATAGCAGTGTGAAAATGGTTCATGGAAATGTTACTCCTGAAAATATAATTTTGAATAAAAGTGGAGCCTGAAAAATAATGGATTTTGAGTTTGGTGTGTCAAACAATCTTTCTGAATAAGAACCGAAGTTTCCTTGTAAAGAGTGGGACCCAAACTTAATGTCATCATGCCTTCCAAATCCTGAATGCTTGGCTCCTGAGTGCATCCTCTCCACGAGCTGGAAGATAGCAAGCGACATGCATTCTTTAGAACTGTTGTGTATGCTGTCTCTAATAAAGGGAAACCTATATTTGAAGTTCACGAGCAGGACGTTTACAAGAGTTTCAGTAGACATTTGGACCAGTTGAGTCATTTAGGATCCAGTTCACTTATAAGTAGACCTGAGGAAGTTCGTGAACAGGTGAAACTTTTGTTAAATGTGACTCCAGCTGTAACCCCAATGCGGATCAGATGACAAAAATTTTGTTAATTTTTCTACAAAAAAAAATGGATTTGTTCCTAACCAAAACCCCTTCTGACAAGATAAAGAACAGTGTGTTGCCAGTGGTCTACAGAGCCCTGGAGAGTACAGTGTTTTCTATTCAGATCCAGGAGCTCCGTCTGAACATCATCCCAGCATTTGCAAATCTTATAGACTACCCATCCATGAAAAATGTTTGATTCCAAGAGTTAAAAATGCTTATTTACAAACATCTTCCCTTGCTGTTTGTGTGAATTCATTAGTCTGTTTAGGAAAGATTTTGGAGTAGTTGGATAAGTGGTTGTACTGGATATCCTACCCTTCTTACAACAGACTCCCTCCAAGGAGCTGCAGTCCTCATGGGGGATTCTAGGTATCTATAAGTGTACTTTTACTCATAAGAAATTGGGAGTCACTGAAGGCAATGACTCGAGGAACGATTACTCATGATGATAGTAAATAGGTAAACAGCCCTTGTGTCTCTGTTTTCTCTCTTGTAGATGTGAGGTTTGATGCACTAACGCTGTAAGATTAATGTTTGAAATGTATTGTAGTTGGAAATGACATCTTTTTTGTTACTGGGCATTGGAATGTAGAGCCTTGCACATGCAAAACATGAACCTTGTCATTAAGTTATACCTTCAACCTGTAACGATTTTAATGTTAGAATTTTTGTTGGATGGGAAAAGCAGTCCTTTTCTTGTTTTTCCTGTCTCTATCCTTCCTCCTTTTCAAGCTGTATATCTGGTCACATCACAGTGACTACAGCATTTCTTGTTCTAGTCTAAACCTGATCATCAGCCTATATCACATCCTGTCTCTCAGTGATATTAAAATCTTCAACAGCAGGAACTGGCTCCCCTAGATTTGTGGAGTACTGGTGTAGCCACTAGTAAGTAAAAGTTTTGTGTTAGGTTTAAAATTAAAACTTAAATGCCATATTATGTCGCTCTTGGAAGTGTTTGAAGAGGATCTAAAATATCTTCAAAAATATCTGTGACTATGAGTTCAAGTCTAATAGGTGACTAAGTATTACCCTGCATTTCCTTATAATCCTAAACAGTTGGTAATAATTTAAGGACTAGAAATTTGTATTACATTGTTAATGAGTTGAATAGTTCATGGTATTGTACCAAGACTGAAATGTACGTACAACATGTTTTAATAAAATGAATCTCAAATTTGTTTTAATATACAAAGTTTGTATACAATATACAAAAGTCCAACTCAATGTAAAACATTCAAAACTAGTTGCTTTATAAAAGTTAATTTATCTTATATCTATATCCTCCTTTTCTTTTCATAGTAGATTCAATAATCTAACCTTTTATTTTATTATATCTATTTCCTCTTTTTTCTTCTTTTCTTTCTCATTTGTCATTTTTCAAGACACAGTTTCTCAGTTGTTTCTCAGTTGCTACAGAGTCAGTCCTGGAACTAGCTCTGTAGACTGGGCTGACTTCAAACTCACCTGCCTCTGCCTCCTGAGTCTGGCATGTGCTATTACCTCCTGGCTTCTTCCTTTCAAAACTAGATTATCTATAGTCGTTTTTTCCCAAACAATAACCTTGAATCTAATTTCCTTGTTCAGTTTTTTTTTTCCCCCGACCGTTATCCATAGAAACTTGAACCAACACATTAAACAAAGACAAACATCCATAATCCATTTTTTGGTGGAAACATGGGCGTAGTTTTCTAGGTTACTTCCTGCTGAATGGGGGCACTGATAATCTTATGGGGACCCAGAGAATATTTAGGATTATGGTCAAGTCCTGACAGGAGTATTCTGTGAGGCTTGATCATCTCAGTCAGCAGTCTTGAGGCTGTTCTGGATGTAGAACTCAAAAGGAAACTCCAACAGAGGAGCTCTAAAACGTTGGATATCTAGGCCACCCACTCTTATTGGAGGATTTTTCAGGGGGTCTTGTTCAAACCTTGTTTTTCTTAGTCCTGAAGGAATCCACAGCCTCTCACTTCCTGTGGAAACAAAAGCAAAACCTCTTCTCTAAAGTAACATTATCTTTTGACTTAAATTTCGAAGTCAAGGCATTTTCAAGACCTATAGGTTGGATTAATTCAGCAGCATTTATAATCAAATGCCTTTTAGCAGCTGCTGTTCCTTCCTCAATCCAAAGACAACACAACTAACATACAGTATCCAGACTCTGTATTTTCCATCTTCACATGGAAGCTAAGCTGGGGCAGACAGAAGCTGGGAGCACTTGCTTTTCTCCCGAACTCAGGTGCCTAGGTTTGGGTCCAATTCCTAGAGCTGGAATTCTAACCTCGGCTCCATCCTGGTGGCTGAAAAGCCTCCGGCAATGGCTTTTTCATAAATTCATGTCCCAAAAAGTTGAGCGTGAACATGAAGCAGAGCACAAGCCTGGAGACACATCAGCTCCTAGTGCTTGCTAGACTCACCCCTTGATATCAAATCCACCCTAGAACAAGAGCTTCAAGTCTGCCGTATTTAAAACTTTCTGAGGATTCTCAGCAGAATGGCTTCTCACCTCAGAGACTCCTTTAAGCCCCAGTCACCAGAAAATGATGGCTTATTGGGCAACACACAGATTTTGTTGAACCCAGTTTTCTCCTGTATCAGGGGAAGATGACATCTCTACCTCTCCTAGTGCTCAATCCAGCTTTCCCAACCGACAATGGCTCCTGTGCAAAGCAGAAACTGTAAACACTCTGGGAGATGTTTACCTAGAAAAACAGCAGTTTCTCAAAACCGTGCACGACAAGGACAAGTGGGAATCAAGCGGCAGAAACATGGGGAAACTCACGGAGAAACCCGCTGACGAGTACGTGAAGCCTCCCATCGTGGCTCACGTCTCCGTGCAGGGGCGGGAAGCCCTCTTTTCTGGGAATATGACCTTAAAAGA